GGGAGCCGCTGCTGGAGCACCGGGCGCTGGAGGAGCTGGCCGCCGGCGACCGGCAGGACCACAGCCGCGCCCTGGACCTCGAGGCGCCCTGTGTGGCCAGCCCCTCCCTAGGGAGCAGCGGCCCCCGGGGAGCCACCGCCGGGGGGCAGGGGGAGCCCGGGGGGCCCCTGACCGCTCCCACCGGCAGCGTGGCCGCTGCCCAGCCCGAAGGGCCCTCCCAGGACTGCTGCAGAGGGAGTGTCGAGTGCGGCCCCGCTCCCGGGGCAGGCGGCAGCCGCCATGGCCCTGTGGGGGAGCCCCACGCCTCGCCAGCCCAAGCAAGCCCCCCGATGGGCTTGAGGGACCGGCCGGAGGCCTCGGCCCTCCCAGGCAGGCCCGGCGCCCCCAGCTCCCTGGGCCCTGGGGACGCACAGCCCAGCCCCGCCCCAGAGGAGGACCGGAGCCCCCCGCGGCCTCAGGAGCAGGCGACCACGAGGAAGTTCTCCCTGGGGTACCGCGGGGGCTACGCGGGCGTGGCGGGCTACGGCACCTTCGCCTTTGGGGGCGACGCGGGGGGCATGCTGGGGCAGGGCCCGCTGTGGGCCAGGGTGGCCTGGGCCGCCTCCCAGTCCTCGGAGGAGCAGGACGAGGCGGGGCTCCAGAGCCCCCCGACGGCAGCCGCCTCGGGGCCCCCGCTCCCAGGCAGTGAGGGTCTCCCCGGCGTCTGCCCGGAGCCGAGCGCCTGGCAAGACGCGGACCAGGGTGCCCCAGTGTCCCTGGTGCAGATCCGGGACCTGTCGGGGGACGTGGGGGCGGCCGACACCCTGTCCCTGGACATCTCGGAGGTGGACCCTGCCTACCTGAACCTGTCCGACCTCTATGACATCAAGTACCTCCCCTTCGAGTTCATGATCTTCAGGCGGGTGCCCAGGCCGGCAGGGCCGGAGCCGCCCTCCCCTGAGGCCGAGGCCGAGGAGGAGCTGGCCGGGCTCCCGGAGCCCACGTGGCCCTGGCCGGGCGCCACCAGCCTAGAGATCACGGAGGC